CCTAACCTGGGAACCACCATTCTAAATTTCACCCATCCACTCATTTTCTAACCTCTTCATCCAAATAAAGTTCACGGGGGAGCCAGAGCTGGAGCCTATCCCGACAAACAACAGGCACAAGGCAGGATACACCACGGACAGGACACCAGTCCAGCGCAGAGCGAAAATTCAGACACACATACAGGCATGCACACACTCACACCAACTGTAGGGCCAATTTTCCCAGATGCCACTTAACCTACTAGTATGCCTTTGGACTGTGGGAGGAAACTGCTGCACCCAGAGAAAATCCACACAAAAACAGGAAGAACATACAAACTCCACACAGATAGCATTCCTTGTCCACAATTGAACCCAGGGCTCCAGCATTGTGAGGCAGCAAAGCTAACCCATGTGAATCCTGCTGGATTAGAGCATCACATATCTTTTACATAACAGAACTGAAAAGACGTAACAAACCAAAATGAACTTGGATAGATACCAAGATCAGACTTCAAACCAAAGATTAAAGACTGAAATCATACAAATTCCTGAACACTGTTCCCAGGTTGAACAGTTCCTCATCAAACAAAACTAAAAAATAAAATTCAAATTCCTCCTTACTTATTTGTCAGCTCGTGATGTATGCATTATTAACGGATGCAAGCTTGTTGAGCAGCGTCTTCGTGCCTGTTAATGTCATGTTTCCAGTGACTTAGTTCTCTGTTCCCACTGGAATGCTAGGTCTCCTACTCTGTGACTGTTTGAAATTCCTGACCCTACCATGTTTATGCAGTCTGTCTACACATTGGAGTTACTAAATGGCTTCTCCCTTTACCAGCTATTTTCAGCTCTTATCTCCAGAGTTACCTCTGTCTGTTTCAGTTCAGCCATATGAGGAATGATTTCATTTTCCCCACAATGCAAAAATTGGGACAATTCCATCGCTTGTGGTCTTGCTAGGCCCTTCCAGCCCAAAGGAAGAAGAGCACTCTAAACTGATAACATGGTACTGTACAACCAATACTGTGCTGAATAACTGGACACACTTACTGCATGTACGAATCTAAGCCTTTCAATTTCTTTCGGATATGAAGAGCATATGAAGAGCATTGTAATTAAAGAGCAAGAGTATGTTTTTAATGCTTTTAATGCTCCTCCCATAAAATCGCCAATTACCCACTTATTTTTTAATCATTTAAAGATCAATTTTATTTAATTACTGTATTTGCTTAGAGACTATCTCGTTTCAAACCAATTAGAAGAAGCTGAAGAAATCCATCTCAGTACATATAACATATATAACAGTAAAAACATGTTTAAATTTTATATTTACAATCAGTATTTGGGTCACATTATAGGACAAGACTGTAAACCAGAATGGATTGGAGAGAAAGCCACAGTTTATGCAAAGCACCACTGTCCTCTTCAGAGAAAACATACATTTCCTCATCATATTCAAATGTATGTCATGCAGTGCACAATGCACAAGCAAGACCCCATTTAGAATACCGTGTTCAATGTTGGTCACCACTGGCAATGCTCTGAAATCAGTTCAGAAAAGAGCAACCTGGTGCAGGTTTGTCTTTCCCGAAATTAATCTCTTTAGTCTTCACCAGAGGAGGGGACCTAATTCAAGTATTTAAAATCTTCACAGACACTTACAAAGTTAAATCTATGGACTTCTTTAAGAACACAGAGGACACAAATGGAAACAAAAGGAAAATATGTTTTAAAACTGACAACAGGAGGTAAATTACATAAAGGGATGTTGGAGTCTGGAAAAAGACACCCAGACTTGTTTTTGCCATTGCTTCTTTAAAGGTTTGTAGCCCCAATTTCTCAGACCAGTTATTAAATCTCAGCAACTAAATTACCAATATTGCACAATTTGAGAAATTCCAAAATAAGCAAAAAGTTGTAAACTTTACAAAAGTGCTGGATAGTCGCCACATTTGAGGGTGAGTGCACGAATTGTAATGTGAAATGGCCCTTCCTGCTCACTAGTCACTGCAATAACTCATGTAATTTGATGTATGTGTAAGTATAGGTTGCACAGCAGACATTTCATCACAGAAATGTCCCAAAGTGTCCTGCATGCAGAGTTTACAAGTAAGTTGTATCTGACAGCAAAACCGTCTCCAAGTTGACATAAATATTTCCAATGTAATAAGGCCACTTCACGTTACCAGAAGTTTTATTGCCTCATTCTAAATCTCAGAACATGGCACTGTGCATACCTGGAAATTTTGTCTATTTTGTGATGGAAATTGGAGATTTTACAAATTACTGTTTGAATTTTACTTTCATTGTGGTTTGACATGCACTCATTAATGCTGAATCTTTCAAACCCCTGAAATATAAAAATAGCCTTGCAGTTCCCCTTTAAAGAAATAGTTGGATGAGATTCATTGGTTACTAAAAAACATCTGAACTATATGAACCTATTGACTTCTTCTCATTCACGAACTTTATGCACAATTCCCACAAAAAGTACTGTGAAACAAAATGGAAAGTATTATTTGTGCTTTACAGTCACACAATTTGTATTTGTTATCATGGGTTTAATAGAAATGATAAATACAATATAATGTGCCTTACTTTGGGTAATTCCATGAGTGCACTTGATCATATAAGAGTAAATTCAATACTTTGTGTTCAACCCTGTTCTGGATTGGTATCCTGTCCAGGAGGGAATCATGTGCTCTCTAGTCTGCTTAACACTACAGATACCAGGATGAGCTGCAGCAACTCTAGTATGACTTCAGTGCCTTTATCTTTTGTCTTAAACTCAGTGATTTCAAATGACCAAAAGTACTGGGATACATTCACTTTAAGTACATTTTGAAATACAAGAGTACATAATTAATTGCATATACCTTTTGAGGCATGAAGTCTGCGAACTAAAGTCTTTGTGTAATAATGTCAGGTGCTTAGCTGCTGCCCTATTCAGTTCTTGCCTATTCCTGGGGTGTCCTGGTATCAATTCTTTCTTTGTCATGTAAAATGCATGTTCAATTGGATTCAACTTTGGAGACTGACTTGGCTAGTCTGAAATTTTCCACTTGTTTCTCCTGATGAATTCTTTGGACACAGTACTTTTCGAGAGGACAGGACATACAGCACACACTGCTGTGCGCAAATCTTAGACATTTTGCATTTTTCTACTACTTTCAATGTTTTTTCTTCTTTAAGGCAGAAATATTTTTCTTGTGATTAAGTACACAACTTTAGCTTTTTTTAAAATTAAAACATTAATCCTAATGGTTCTGTACTTGGAATTTCAAAAAGTAAACTCCTGGCATAATGGACATGAAGAGAGGAACACATGATGTTAATAATGAGGAAAACATGACAATGAGTCAGGTGCTGTAATAGTAAAAAACACTAGCAGAGGTTTTGAATCAATTGTCGATTCTCATTTATATACATATATTAAAAACTCCTCATTGTATCCAAGATATACAAGACTTTTTTTGCACAGAAGTATAAATGTAATCCATAGACATGCCAGCGAGCTTTCCTAAGAATGCACTACTTATTTTAGAGAAAGATCTAGTTCAGCCTGAAAAAACAGCACACACGAGCATCGCTTTCAACTGCTGGTCCTCAACCAGGATGTATTCTAGGTACTTCACATTGTGGTTTTGATTAAAATAAAAGTCGCACTAAAAAGACCAAGAGAAGAACTGTAAAGCCCATCAATCTGTAAATGTTGAATCTAAAAACACAGCTGTGATTAAAAAAGCATTGCAAACAGTGCAGTAAGAAATTACACTGTCACCATCCATTATAATATATAACGTTAATTACTCTGATATGATACTATAGCTATTTTACAAATGCTAATTTACAGGTACATTTCAAAGACACCTACAAAATTTGTCAGAGCACAATAGAATAGGTCTCAATACCATGGCACACGCATACAGTAGATTACTTTGTGTGCAGCAGTGTCCAGCATCCTTAACATGGTTGTCACAATGCTTTACATTTGTAATTTATGGCACAAGGTTAAATCTCATTCTCCATAGACATTCATTTTTCTATGGAGTGCTTTTTTATTTGCTTTCTGATAGCACTTATTTGTAATTCAATTTGTAATCATCTG